TAGGCAGGAAACCCTACACCACTTCAGACAAATGGTTATCCAACATGTTCTTAAAATCTTCTAGTGTTGGAGTATTCACAACTTCTGGAGGTAAGTTGTTCCACTGATTAATTGTTCTCACTGTCAGGAAATTTCTCCTTAGTTCTAAGTTGCTTGTCTCTTTGGTTAGTTTCCACCCATTGCTTCTTGTTCTACCCTCAGGTACTTTGGAGAACAGCTTGACTCCCTCTTCTTTGTGGCAACTCTTGAGATATTGGGACACTGCTATCATGTCTCCCCATGTCCTGCTTTTCATTAAACTAGACATACCCAGTTCCTGCAACCGTTCTTTATATGTTTTAGCCTCCAGTCCCCTAATCATCTTTGTTGCAAATTGCAGAGCAATTTGATGTCTATGGCATCAATGATACAGATTATTAAAGGAGAAAATAAGAAAAAGGAAATAAAAGAAACCAAAAGATTATGCATGGAGCTAGATAATAGGCTCAGTCAGAAATGTTCAAACCTTCCATTCATAGCTCTTAAAAATGCAGGCCTTCATTCCCTTTCCGAGGTTTAACTAGGGCCATTGATTTGGGCTGGTTTTTAAAAGTAACAGTGACATGTAAAAGTATGTTAGTTTCCAGACCTGTGTGATTTTTCCCGAAGATGTGTGTGTGTGAGAGAGAGAGAGGGAGGGAGGGAGGGAGAGAGAGGGGGGGGGGAGAGATTGGCCAGTAAAGTCTCTGATATGGATTGTCCGATGTACCTTCTTCCAGGGTCGGATCTCAGATTACCAAAGCTGGCTTGTGAGGCATGGATTTCTACAGCCCATGGGAATACCTTATTGGAGAATAGATTTATGACACAGACTGAGAGGAGGGAGGAAACAGGGTTAAAGTTGAACCGTAAAATATGTGCTGCAGAGTTGACCTCATGCTGCTCCTAATAAATAACTGGTTTTCTCTTGAAACCTGGCTTGAGGCTCATGAGTTAATTAGGGCATCTGTCAGAACCTTGACAGCATCCAGTTTTGGTCACCACATTACAAAAAAGATGTTAAGACTTTGAGAAAAGTCCAGAGAAGAGCAACTAAGATGATTAAGGGCCCCTAGACAAAAACATGAAGAACGGTTGCAGAAATTGGGTATGGCCAGTCTAGAGAAAAGAAGGAATAGGGGTGACATGATATCAGTATTACAGTATTTGAGGGGCTGCCACACAAAAAAGGGCGTCAAAGCACCAGAAGGCAAGACAAGAAACAATGAATGGAAACTAATCAAGGAGAGAAGCAACCTGGAATTAAGGAGAATTCATTGTAACAGTGAGAACAATTAACCAGCTTGCCTTCAGACGTTGTAGGTGTTTAATCAATGAAGGTTTTTAAGAAGAGAGTGGGACAGCCACTTGCCTAAAAGGGGGTTGGACTAAAAGTTCCCCAAAGTCCCATCCAGCTCTATTCTAATTGATTGATTGATTGACTGTCTCCACAGAATGATGGGAATTGAATTACTGTATCTATGAACAGGATATGGTTTCTTTTTATCTGCTATATCACTTCTTCCTTTTCCTAGGCATGCATGATGAGCATTACTTTTTTGCCATATACAGTAAGTAACCACTCTATTTCTTCAATGCCTTATGTCACATCTTTAGGCTACTTCCTGATTTGGTTATCTTATTATCCAGATTTCCAGATTTGTACATTACATTGAACCACAAATTGACCACATGAGCTTTATGTTTCACATGTGCAGGTGCTGATTTGTAGTTCAATACATTGTTCAAATGTGTTCCATTTAATAGAGATTAGGAGCATGCTAGAGAATCTTGTGCCAATATTTTATATATCTGAGATCAGTTAAAGAGATATATCACCTGCAGATCGTAGGATGCATTTTGAATGCCACAGTGAATAAGAGTATATATGTACTTAACTATACATGTTACCTTATCTGATCTAGTAAGAGGATACTATGGAAGTATCTAACATCAGACAAAAGAAAACAGAAGCAGAGTAATATATAATTAAACCCAAAGTATGGTCTAAAACAGGGGTGTCAAATTCGATTTCATTGATGGTCACATCAAGATTGTGTTTGAGCGCATGGTCGGGGTGGCCATGGGAAGATTGACATCACTTGTGTCGGGGGCACCTGTGGTGGCCCGAGTGCTCTGCCAGTGAAAACGGGCTCCCGAGCTCTGTTTTCGGCTGCGATGGCCTCCTGCAACCCACTACCAGCGAAAACAGCACTTGGGAGGTCCACTCCCAGCCCTCCTGAGTTCCGTTTTCACTGGCAGAGGCACCGCGGGGCAGCCCTTCACTGTTTCCAGGGTGGCCCCATGGGCCAGATCTAAACATCTGTGGACCAAATGCAGCCTCCAGGCCTTGAGTTTGACACCCCTGATCTAAAAACAAAGATAAAAGCCAAATTAAAATCTGAAGGAGGCACCCTCAGTCACTTATCTAGAATCAAAAGCAAATTGTAACAGAAGAGCTTTTTAAGTTTTTTCCAGAATTGCAACAAGGTAGGGACCTCACATATTTCTTGGAGAATATTCCATAAGGTGGAAGCTAGTGCAGGTGAAGTAGAAAGGGTGGATCTGAAGCATGGACAGTGTTGTTGTTTTTTGTACTGGCATTTGGATATTTTTTTTCTTTGACGTTTAAAAGTTTATTTTATTTATTTATTTATTTATTATTTATTATTAGAATTTGTAGGCCGCCCTTTTCCCTGGGGGGACTCAGGGCGGCTCACA